GTATACGCTTTGCACCTTCGAAGTGCAAAGTACTTTTACAAGACTGGCAGGATTCTAATCCTGTACTCACTTTGGATAGTGAGCAGATAGACGTAGTCGAGAAGTTCGTGTATCTGGGTAGCTGTATAAGTGCGGGTGGGGGTGTGAGTGATGAGATCGATGCACGTATAGTGAAAGCTAGAGCGGCTTATGCCAATCTGGGCCATCTTTGGCGCCCTCGTGATGTTAGTCTGGCTGTAAAAGGTCGGATCTACAACGCATCGGTGAGAGCTGTTTTGCTCTATGCTTGTGAAACCTGGCCTCTCCGAGTTGAGGATGTTAGACGACTCTCTGTGTTCGATCATCGTTGTCTCCGAAGGATTGCTGACATCCAGTGGCAACACCATGTTAGTAATACAGAGGTTCGGCATCGTGTGTTTGGGCACAGAGACGATAATGCAATTGATGTCACCATCTTCAAACACCGACTTCATTGGTTTGGAAATGTTCTACGAATGTCGTCCCAGAGAATTCCACGTTGTGCATTATTTGCCGACTCTGAGACTGGTTGTAAAAAGCGGAGAGGTAGTCAGTGTAAGACATGGTGTCGTGGTATGAAAGAAAGCTGCAAACGGCTGGCTTGTGTTGGTCCTTCACGACTCCCTGGCTGGGGTCCGAGAGATGGTGCGACACAGTGGCTAGAGACGTTATCAGATATGGCTCAGAATAGAAGCAAGTGGCGATCCTGCTGTGACCTTCTTTTACTTCATAAAAAAAGTGGTTGTATCTTCCTTAACTGAAAGATTTTTTCTGATTGTACCCTTCTGTTCCCCTACTATTGCTATTATTATTATTACACTACCTTACACCAATCTCTTGGTTATTGTTTTATTTTTTTTACGTTCCTCACTTTTTTTTCTTCTCAGACTCTCATTGTTTTGTGTGGCGCTTATATATTCGGCGCACTCCCGTACCAATATATATTTGTTTAAATAAATAAATAGTAAAAGTCATCTACTTAGTACAGATTAAAGCAATTCAGTCAGTCAGTCAGTAACAACGTAGAACTTCGTACGTACGTACATCAGTTCACGTTGCCACACCACATTAGCACAGAGATGCAGTTGTCGATTCAAATCCCGTAGTGGTATACAACCACGACCAGGTCGAAAACCAGCCTGATTTTCTCTAATCTGCTCTTCACGAGCTTTAGTTAGGCGTTGAAGTATTATTGAAGCTAATATTTTAGACACTATATTAGTCAAACTGATTCCTCTGTGATTGTCACAAGAGGACTTTTGTCCTTTCTTATAGACTGGCACAATCAGTGATTGAGACCAGTCAGATGGGATTACGTCCAGTTCCCAAACTCTACCTAAGACCTCAGTTAATCTCACTGCTGATACTGGACCACCATACTTAAATATCTCACGAGTAAACCTGTCAGGACCTGCTGCTCTCCCACGCTTCAGATTTCTTATGGCTTTTTCAACTTCGTACATTAACTTGCCATTCAGGTTGAGTAGAGATCGTGGGAAACCGAAGTGTAGCTGAAGGCCAGTTGAACTGATCCCTAAAGTGTTCTGCCCATCGATCCAATCTCCTGGATTGAGAATGTATAATATGTCCATTTTTCTCTGAGATTGTTTCGCTAACAGTCGGGTTCCTAGTACCGGTTTCCCTAACGAGTCTGAACAATTGTCTGTTATTACCTATTGCCGCTGCCTTTTCCATCTCTCTTGCTTTCGCTACCCACCACTGTTCACGATCATTGCGTAGACTTCTTGTCAGGTTGCGCTTAAGCTGACTCTGCTCTTCATTTCCGAGCATCTATCAGTGCGATAGATGCTGCTGAGATCCAGTGGTGCTCCCTAACCTTCTGGTTTACCTTACTACCAGATATCACTGCTGTTTCCACAGCTTTTCGGATATCATTCCATGCTGCCTCGGGGTGGGCATCACATACATGGCTGCCTAACTGCTTTCCTAGTTGTTCCCCAAATATACTTTTAGCTTGACTATCATTAAGTAGGCCCCTAAGAGGTTTCCTTGCAGTGTCTTTCCTACGTCCAGTAAGACGCAAGCAAATACGCGCTCGCACTAGAGCATGATCTGGAACTAAGCATGTGCTCCAGAATGAGCGACAGTCTTCTATCGAGCCCCTCCATCGGTGGCTGATAGCGATGTGATCTATTTGGGTCCAAAGTTGGGACGAATTAAGAGGTCGCCATGTTAAAAGAAGTTTTTCCTTATGCTTTAATTTTGTGTTTGCAAGGAACAGGCGGTTATTTGAGCATAGCTGCAACAGACGGTCGCCATTATCTGTTCTTTGAGCCACGACACCATAAGATCCACCTAGGTGTCTTTCCCTATCGCTTAGTTTACCTACTTGAGCATAAAAGTCACCGGCCACTATGACTACATCAGAGCGCCTAGCTTTTCGGAGAAGGTCGGAAAGCTTTCTGTAAAACTCATCTTTTACATCATCTGAGCTGCAGTCAGTGGGAGAATAGGTAAAAACGACGAAGAGGCAACGACGAGTGTTCCTATCTTTCCGGATTCTTACTGTTCCGTTCAGTCGGACAGAGCACAAACGGCTGTCTACTGGGATCCACTCTAAGAGAGCTAGTTTTGCCCTAGGACTCAATGCTATACCTACGCCGGCGAGGCCACAGGAAGCAGAATCAGGGCTTCCAGATACACGACGCGTAAATCGAGTCGGTTCGTTATTTTGGCATGGTGAGGTTAAACGAATGACACTACTCGGATCTTGTATGCGCGTTTCGGAGACGCAGCACACATCGATGGCGCGAGATTCTAAAGTTTTAGCTAGGGAAGCCTGCTGTCCTATTTGGCAGTGTTCGTACGTTAAAAGCTCCTACGTGTAGTTTAGAGCGTGGTTTCAGGAGACCAGGAATAACGTTCCGCGTACTCGAATCGTTTGCTCTAGCGGTGCGAGGTGATAAAGAGACGTGAGGAGGGCTAGCGGTGGAGATGATAGAGTTATTAGGAGGTGTAGGAAGGATTTGAATGTGACTAACTTGGTCTCATGTGCTGTTACGGGTATGAGGGCTGGTGTCATTTCCCGGCTGCCCACACCGTGGAAGGGTATTTCTTGAGGAACATGAAAAGGAAATTGGATTAATGTTGGCCTTAACTACCGCAGAGCCCAAGGGACAGCTGCTTGAGGCCGGTCGCGCACGGCCTTTTCGTGGAAGGTTTTTAATGTGTTAGCTCCGTTCTTCAAAGGGCTTTACCGCCGGAGACGGAAATCCGTGAGGTAAGGTGAGGTGTGACATTTTTAGGGTCGACCTTTTCTAACCCCACCCCTCCTTGTGGGAAGGCAGCATCGCTGTCATGCTGGTTGTCCGAGGGAAACACCTTACTGCTGTCACAGCCCTTTAAAGTCAGCAGTACGACTTCGCCCTCAGACCTTGAGTTGCTGCTTTTAGTCTTACCGTTCACCAATCGACCTGCCTGGCATGGTAGAACCTACAGGAACATATGTTCTAGCCAATATAGCTCCGTTGGGTCATCACGATAGGCAAGCCCGACCACCGCGTCAAGGTAGCAGCTTTGGTCGGGAATTGGTGTTGATCTACACCTTGTGTGAGGGCCAATGATTCTCTCCGGTTGCTCAAATCGCTCTAAGTGATAGTTTTAACCAGTAGCCTACTAGCTGAAAGGTAAGTGCTTAGTTAGTAAATGACAAATCAGAATTATATGCGATGATGTAGACTTTTTCTCAGAATTATGAGTATGTAGCAACATGATACACGACTACGCAATAACTTATGTTATAGATAAGACAATCTGTAGTTTTGAATGATACATCCACACCAATAAAATCTACAGAAGTGTGAAAATTCATATTACTGTGGTTAAAATCAAAACAACATAAAAATAACTCGAGTCAATGATGCTAAGGAAAACTAAAAGTTAAATGCCCTACATAAAATAAATGCTGATTAAGTGGAATATACTCTCAGGATATTTTATCAACAGGCTTTAACAGAAGATATATAGAAATCAGTTTTAAGTATTCGTGTTGCGGTCATTTTGGTTCACAATATGAAAACAGTTCGACAAAACTATTAATTGAAGCTATATTTCAACTGAGATCTTTTATCGAAATAAATAGTCACGTTGAAGCATATGGAATACTGAAACTCGTTACTTTAAAATTAAAACAAAAGTGCAGCAATCGTTCAGTTGTCACAGGAACCATATAGTATGACCTGAACTAGTCAATTTTTAGCGCACAACAAAACTTGATGTTGTTTTTATGTGTTGTGTGATTCTGTATAGTTCCTTTACCGCGTTATCATAAGATGTTGTGACGATGACAAACCAAGAAAAGGACTAATTCTCAGATCCACAACTTTCAACCACCTAATGCAGACAGTACTTTGGTTACCGTTCTCGTCAACGATTAAAGTTTATTGCCTGTAGACTTCGTGAAGTTTAAAGCCATTGTCCAAAAAGGGTCGAGTTACTACAACATAGTATCAGCCTTCAGTGTGTTAATGATTTAGAGTTAAACGAGCGGTATATTAGTCCCTAAGGATGTTTCTGTGGCTGAAGGAAGAGTTAACAGTTGTGAGGGTGTTATATCTTTTCATTACCTTGCACATGACATCCGGCTAGTCGGGATCCCACAGCAACCGAAAGTACACTCAGAAATCGAGATGACCCACAATTAAACTATATCCCACAGTCGTTATTAGAAACGTCAATGATCGATACACAACAATATAGACGGCGGTATCAGAAGTGGTGAGTGCACTTTCTTGTATTAAGTGTTTAAGCTATACAAAATATAACGTTAGGAAATGATAATAGGAGCGACATACTGTTTATATTCCACTTACTAGTGGGTGATGGGTAGAAAGCGTACAATAAAGTCAAGAGACAGTTATACAGTATATTTTATCAAGTTCAGTTCCCATCAAAATTTTGTACAAATAACTATTTGAACACATAATGCCAGATATTTAAGACATTAATACACAAAAGCGTACCTGAAAGATGTATGACGGTTGAGGTTTGGAATTTCGAATTCTTTTTTCCAGCAGCTCTTTTGTTTTCTTATTTATATCTATCCTCTTACCATGATTCAAACTTTCAGTACTTGACGAAGAACTAATGCCAATTTCAGTTGAACCAGTCCAATTGGCCAAAGTCTCACGAGGAACAATTGAGAGAGAGGCATCCAAAACAACATCAATTGCTGCTGACTCATATTTGATAGCTCCTGGTCTGAGTACAGATTGATTATGAGAAAGTCGAGAACCAAGTTTGTTAAAAACACTATCCCTAACTTTTTCGATCGCACGCACGATAACAGCCTCAGTCTAAAAATATGACAAGAAAACACTCAACTAACCTTCATCTCTCCAAACTTGGTGACACCACACTCGGTGGGAAAAATATTTTCGCAAAACAAATCTGTGGGATTTAATTGACCTCCAATACATTCACGAGTAAGTTTTGCTTCATAAGACGTGCATTCTACATCTTGACGAGCTAATCTTTCGTAGCTAGGTTCCGAATCAATGTAATTATCTTGAGGAAAAGAGTGATCCAGGAATGCGTGGAAAATAGTCAAGTGCGACATCAAGTTGTGGAAATTTTATTTAATGCAGCCAGTTATGATGGATCACATGCAAGAATCTAGTAGCTATTAACAGTATAAATCAACGTTAGTTTTGCACTGGCTTTAGAACGTAAATACATTCAAACAATTTCACGATAGCACTTTTTGTAAGAACTAGAGCAGGTTTATAATTTGAAAAAAAACTGCTACTATTAACCAAACACTTGAATATCAAGCATAATGGATGGTTTTTCTAGAAATTAAGGGTTTAAAGGCAGTAAAGTCGTAGAGTCTAATACTTTCACGGCCTGTACTGACAAAACAGGTCGTCTCAAGCATTGTGAGCGCATGTTATACTAAAGTCGTTAGTCACAATAATGAAACGTTTGAAACAACTTTAGGGTCAAAAGTGAAACTCGATATACACGTATTGACAGGAGCATGACCAATAACATACTAATAAAATACGAATACCAAAGGGTCAATTAGTCGTATCACATGCACTTAAATATGAAAGAAAATTATGAAAGTAGCGACCGTTGTTCGATGACTTAATGATATTAAGCTCTGGTACATCATGCGGTCTGATGTATTACATCTGTTATCATTCTCGACAGACTATTTCAGAACATCTTGCAGAGTAGAAAAAAACATGTACATGTCAGACCCAACACCAAGTGACCGGAACAATACCATAGTAAGCACGATCTTTGGAGTTAAAATGAAAACCCGTACTTAAATTTTGACCTATCCACCTGACTGGGATATTATCGCAACACTAGGAACACTTTATAGACAAGTTGAACATTTGTTATTTACTTGAACACATAAATATGGATACAAAGGGGCACCGAATGTATAAGCGCCACACACGTCACTTGAATTGTGTGTGGGCCACGATACTGCCCGGATGCCCAAACTGAAGCAGGTGGTATTCCTAAGGCGCCACACTCAGAGCGTTCGACCTAAAGGTCTGATCCACAAGGCAGTGGAGCAGATGCAGTCTTATAGCAGCCGGTGACCAACGATTGGTTCATACACCATTTGTCCCTTCAGGATACTGGAGCCCATATGTACTATCGGTTTGGAGTCAGGGTCTTCCACTCCCCTAGGTGGACTCTCAGTGTCCACCAACCCGGTTAAAGCACCGGAAATTCGCTTTTCGTCCTCTCAATTTTGTAAACAACACCCCCGCCACGAGAAGGCAGTGAGTAGGACTTCCCTGGCAGAGGCTATATACGCGTGGCTATGTGAGAGCATTTCGAGAGAGAGCTAATTCTTCCACCCTCGGCCGTACCAGGGCATTTGAGGACTTTCTTTTAAGGTGAGTACACGGGAAGGACCACACAATCTACTGATAAGAGTAGCGGTGCTTGCAATGGCAGTTCTTACATGATAAGCTTACTTATTAAAAGAAGACCAGGTTGCACGACAAAATACAAGAATACCTGTTAAAATAAGACTCACAGGCTCCAAACAGCGGTTTGATAAAGTGCTTCGTAAATGACAGAGGGATTTCAGTCTATGCACGAACTTCAGGTGGTGCTTGAATGACCTTAAGAATGTCCAACTACTTGCTGGAACTACACAAACGTTGTAGATTTGTGTGAAGAATCAGGACAAGGATTGACAATTGAATGTCAGGGTTAGGAATTGGATTTGAGGCTTTCACTATGAACTGACATCATTTGGTGCCTAAATACCAATTAGCTTTATGGATAAATGAATTTTGGAACAAAATTCAAGGCCTGATATATTCTTTCAGGTCGGTTCGTACATAAATTAACGGTCTCGCCCAAAATGACTAGTATAGTAACCCTAGAAATAAGCATTATACAAGCATGAGCTGAAGACAAAATAAAGGCTAGCAGAAAAATAATCGAACGGAAAAAACACTGAGATGAGGAACCGCAACCATAGCTCCCCACACTATATTCGCTATATGAATACGACTTAAACGCACTACATGTAGTAACAGAATAACAGGAAATGATTTGTATAAATTTTAAAAATAACACAACAGTTGAACAATATATTAAACACGTTAAGCATTAACAAGCGAACGAATAACAGGCGATAGCTAAAGTATTTCACCTGATGATAAATGCAGCAACAGGTTTTGAGGTACGCGCGCGCTTTTCGAACAGGATGTTTAGTACTAACGTGATTTGCATTTATCAAACTTTTGCTGTGTTCTTACGCAACAAAAGTACTATTTCAGTTCTGAAGAATCTGTTCTGAGCTATACGTTCGGTAGGTCACTTTTTTGAGTTCCACCATATTTAATAAATAACTGTGGTTTTGCCTCAGCTTACTGTTCGTTTTTTTTTTGTTTTTCACGTAAAGACTAATTAAGTTTATCTCACTCGTTTTTATCCGTTTTTTATCCATTTTTGTCCGTTTTCAGCGTTCTTTTTAGTGTTTTTTTACGGTCTTAGGCTTTTTCAAGCGTCTATTACATAGTTTGCTTCAACTTAGTCATGAGAAACTCATGCAAACGTCCGGGATGCCGTTTTGCTGTTACAACTGGCATGCAATACGAAAACTACAAAGGTTGGTTACACGAAGCGTGCACATATCTGACGGCAAATGCTTACAACAGACTCAGCAAGTCGGACCAAATGTGGGTATGTGTCACATGCAGTATGGACACTGCAGTCTTTGCTGAGTAACATCATCGTCCTACTGACAAGTCTGCGGATCAATTTGTCAGCAAACTTGGATAACGACACTAAAAAACGGGTAAACAAACAAGAGCGCGCAACGAGCGCAAGATTAGGGATGTCGACAGGTATACCATCGATGGAGCATCCTTCAGCACTAATGATAACGTGTTGAAGCTCAGCACCATCATTACGTCGACGGTATTAGACTCTCTAAGTAAACTCGGATCTCCCAGCTCAGGGTCCCCGAACACAACAGTGGTTCCCCAAAACCCTGTAGATGATTTAACCTGCGCTAGCAGAGCCCAGAAGAACCAGGTGTTACTGCCTAAGCTGAGCATCCCAAGTATTGTTGTACGGAAAACAACTGGTGATTTGGTCCACAGTCAACCCCCAAGAATGTTCGTCCGGTCATTAATGAGCCCAAGATTCAAAAACGTGCCTCGGCCTCCAAACAACAAGGTATTAAACCTGAAACCATCGGGAAACTTGGTAAATCAACAACAGTTCGCGGCGATTCTCTCATAATCATGAATCTCATTGAAAATCCTGACCTTCCTCTCAGTCTGCAGGACAAAAATGACAGGATGCTGTGAGGTGAACTGAACAAGAAGCTCGAACTTCCCAGAATACAGCCTTTGACGGTCACCCGGCTCACTCGAGGAAAGGATTCTAAGCATCTAAATCACCCGAGGCTTCTTCGAGTAACACTTATGAATGCTACCGACGTAGGGGACGTCTTGCTAGCAAGTCACTTGCTGAAATCCGATGGTGACGTAAGAATATTGCCCGACATACCGTACTCTGAGCGCAATATCATACGGAACACCCCTAAAGAATCTCGCGAGAAGTTTTTCCCCTGAAGAAACATAATTGTGCAAGGTATACCGGAAAATACGGACCCTACTCAATCAAGTTCTGACATCAGAGAATGTAAATTCATTAAACAGTCCTTGAGGTTCGAACACATACTGACTCAGCATATGACGAGCTAGCCAAGAAGGATGGTGACCCTAGACTCCGTCTAATGAAGACAATATTCCCACCCCCCTAATGGCGGCTGCAACTCTGGAAGCATTTCGTGCAAACAGATGTCGTCTGCCACCTGGAATCCACATGCACCCGAATTGGGTATACGAAGCTAGGACCAAGCACAAAGGCAAGATGGAGCTTACCATGTGGACTGTCTAGACCATAAAAAATACGTGTAAAGGACATGGCCTACCACCTTGGCAAACCTCATATAGGTAGGCTACCTGTCCATTCACGTAAGGCTCATACAGACCAACAGGACGAAGCTCACGCGTTCCAAATTGAAAACATAAACTGCTTATATATGAACGCCGCGAGTCTACCAAACAAATTGGATGAATTACGTGAACTTAGCAACGTTGATAAGGCCCATCTGATAGGAATATCTGAAACCTGGATATCTTCTCAGTTCTCGGACCAAGAGTTAGCATTGCCTGGGATGTCTTTGTTCCGCAACGACAGAAAATCAGGAATTGGGGCGGAGTAGTCCTATACATACGTTCTTGCATCTTCTTGGAGGTGCACCAAGTTCACAACCTTGAATTTAACAATCTTGAGGAATCCATATGGTGCTCTGTAAGATTGTCGAGTACTTCGAAGTGTCTAGTCGGAGTCATTTACAGGAAGCCAACTGCCGACATCGAGTACGATAGTCGTATGCCGGAAGGACTATCCCGCTCTACTCGTCTCGGTTTCATACACATCCTGATTCTAGGGGACTTTAATTTCCCTAGAGTCAACTTCGCGGATCACACGTATATTGGAGGTGATAATTCAATTGAAGCCCAGTTCTTCAACCTCGTCGATGACTTGGGATTATATGAAAATTTGAGGTCGGCAACTCGTTGGAGAAACAGTCACACACCATCGCGCTTAGACTGTGTATTCAAAAACGAAGAATTCCTAGTTGACAACCTCTCAATCCTTGCTCCCCTGGGAAAAGCGATCATGCCGTCATAGCCTTCAATTTTGTCAGCAAAACTAAGCTATCCCACCAATAACTTGCGTTGGAATTTTAAACGGTTGAATGTGCCAGCTCTACACGACTATCTACAACGGGTGGTTTGGGATGTTCACCCCCAACTCAATGTGGACGGGCATTGGGACTTCTTACTGCACACGCTACAAATCATTCAGTTCCTCAAACGGTTCCCAAAAGCTTCTAGCCACATACAATAATCAAGAAATGTACCCTTCGCCTGCTAAGCCGAAAAAGGCACTGTTGGGCAGAATACAAACGAACTGACAACGACGGAGCGTACAGGCAATATAAACATATAAGGAACATATACACGAAGGCTATAAGAGAAGACAGGCTTCAGTACCAAAAAAGTTTATGGACAAATTTGCCTTTAATCCTAAAAGCTTATTCCGTTATACAGCCTCTCTTCGTCAAGCCAAAAGTGGAGTTTCAGAACTGCTAGGTCTTAACGGCCCGACCAACAACGATGGCGACGCCACTGACTTTCTGGCTGAACACTACTCTCAGACATTTCAACCGACCGACACCAACTCTACTGATGACAGTTTCATCTGCGATTCAATAGGACTTTCCGAAGTGAACCTAAGCGCTGACTTGATGTTCCGGAAATTGCAGCACTTAAGACTTGACACTTCTCCTGGCCCGGATATGGTCCATTCTGCCATGCTCAGAGAAGAAGCCTCAATCCTGGAAATGCCGTTTAGTGTGATGTTCTCACACTCGCTAAGCCGAGGCAAACGACCGGAAAATTGGAAGTGGGCTCACATCACACCAATTTTCAAAGGAGGTCGACGCAACGAACCTTCAAGTTATCGGCCCGTGGCTCTTCTGACATTACCTTCAAAGCTCATGGAATCCCTTATACGCGACGGTTTATACGACTATCTACTGTCCTAAAATTTCCTCTCACCCCAACATCATGGCTTCAGTATGGTCTACACTTGTATAACCAACCTGCTGACTGCGGTGGACAGATGGACAAGTATACTCGATCGCAAGGGAAAGGTTGACATCATCTACCTTGATTTCTCAAAAGCTTTTGATAAGGTTAACCATTTATGTCTTAACAATAAGCTCAAACGACAAGGTATCAGACCACCTCAAATCGATTGGCTTACTTCATACCTGAAAAATCGACACTTTAAGGTTAGGCTTAATTTCACTTTATCTCAGGCTATGGAATGTAAAAGTGGGGTCCCCCAAGGCTCAGTACTAGGACCTCGTCTCTTTTTGATATAAATAAATGATCTACCTCAACAGATAACGTCAGAATTGTTACTCTTAGCTGAAGATGTTAAACTTTGGAGAGAAGTATGAAATCAAGACGATATATAGGCACTTCAGGAAGATCTGACTTCAAAGTTGGATAGATAATAATGTAAAGTAGTCGATCTGCGACATGTCGCAGACTACAGTTATAACTTAGGTAACTCCTCTCTAGTAGTATCCCAAGTCGAAAAAGATTTAAGAGTCTTGGTCCCCTACGATTTGAAGTCTTACGCTAACTTTGACAAAAATGCCTTCCGAGCAAACCTTGCACTGGTAACATTGAAGCGCATTTTTGGACAGTTCGACGGAAGAACTTTCCATACAATCTTCAATAGTTTCATCCGTCCTCATTTAGAGCACGGAAACATAGTATTTCCCCCTCACTCCAAAAGGATAAGGATACCCTGGAACGTATCCAACGGCGAGCCACGAAATCAGTTCGAGGACTCAAATTTAAACCTTACGAAGAGCGCCTCCATTCACTAGACCTTTACCCATTAGATTATAGACGTCTTAGAGGCGACCTTCTGATGGCTTACAGTATCCTTAACACTTCTGGATATCCTCTCAAACACCTACTTAAGCTTAGTTCGAACACTAACCTGAGGGGTAACACCCAGAAACTGGAGACACAACATAGCAGAACGGACTGTAGACATAACTTCTTCTCCTTAAGTGTTGTCAAATGCTGGAATTCGCTGCCGGCAGAGCTAGTCCAAGCGACTCCCCAGAAGTCCTTCAAGAGGCAACTTGGCCTATTCTTAAGGACCAAGGACAGCATCATACTATGATTTACCAATTTTTTCCTCTTTTATTGGTAAAACACCTAGGTTCCTGCCTGGAGGATTTGGTGATTCCCTGCTACTAGACACGGAAGCCTGTTAAGCGCAAGCTTCTTCTATTCCGTCCACAACCATTTGAACAATTTGAAGATAGAGTTAAACGAAAAACAGTAGGCAAAGATGTGAACTAAGACGTAGAACAGCGATCTAATTACAGAACTCCTAAAATAACGAACCACCACATGGATCACAGAGACACAAGTGAACTGAAATCTTGCTGAACGTTTTATCGCTAGATGAACCCACCACCCAACTTCGTGAATTCGAATAACAACCATAAAATGAGATTCAACATCCACTACGCGAAAACAATTAGAATGACAAATTATTATACACTCACTGATTTATTGCAAAAATACTCAACCATAAATCGCGTCGGCGAAGACATCACCGAAAGCAACGCTGATCCAAAACAGGTTTTCATGGTGGGAGACGGTCATTGTTATTCAACCAGTGACCAACTACTCCTCACCGGCCACCAAAGCGACTCTTCCGTACATAGAGGCCTTATCGACACATTCAAATCTCTAGATAGCACTTAAACATCTGTCAAACGCGATTTCTTATGATCATTTAACTCGTGTTAGAGCTAATCCTCGATTGCATCCGGTCGGCAATTTGTTGGGGCGTAGGCATTGATAACGATATAAAATCGTATTCCATTTTTGACTTCTCGCTCTGATGGAACTTTTTAATCTTCAGACACACTGACTACTGTTAATTTGGGTCTAATTGATTTGGTACAGGGGCGCTTAACAAACCCAATAAAAACTTATTAGGAAGCATTATTAAGTTTTGATACCATAAGAAACATGTGGTAACCTGACAAATTATATTCCTATTGACAAAGCATACAAACTTAATACAATAGAAAATAGTTACCATCATAGGTCATGGCTCTTCATTTGAAAAGAATCGTTGACATGAGATTGTTAAACAAATCGATAACTTCATGAAAATGAGTCAGTCAGTATTTTACCCATGAGCGCAAATACTATGAAGGAATACGTGACAACTTATTTCCTTATTCTGACGTGTAAACGTTACCTGAATCTATAAAGCGACCATCTTTGTCTACAATAAGGTGAAGGTGGGATGTATATTGTTCCGTCATGCCAGTATATAGGTAATGTTCCAGTGGGACAGGGCGTTTATCTGTTGCGATGACATGAATCTCACAACCTCGTACACGTCCTAACCAATCAGCTATTTCATAATTATTTGGTACAGTGGCGCTTAACATTACTAGTAGAATATGCTTAGGAAGCATTATCATAATCTGTTCCCATACGTAACCTCTGTCTGGATTATTAATATAATGTACCTAAAGAGAAAAAGGAAAGGAAATAAAAAATTATAACAGTAACAATAATAACAATAAAAATTACAATAATTATAATCAAGCTTATTTATTAATCCAGCAATCTTTGATGAAGTAAACAGATAAACTAGACAAATGTAGAACATAGTTTGTTAGCTAATGAACCATTTCTTCACTGAAGAAAGAGTGAAAATAATCTGGAAAAATTAAATTTCAGAAGTAAAAGAGTCAAATTAGTGTAAAACTTCAAGTAAAAATCTCAACAACAATTAAACAACTACAAGTACGAATATAAACAGAAAGTTTCGACTAGGGACACATATGTCGGTGAACATGTGTTTTATCATAGGTATCATTACCAAAATTTGGTTTGATAATTTCGATTAAATTGAGCATTGGGTAATAAGAATATTAATATCGTATGCGATTGCAAAATGATTGATTCTGTAGTTCATTCACTTGCTAGTGGGAATAAAACATTAGTCAATTTAACTCAATTATTGTTCTATCACGTCAGCTATGATCGGCATAGAGCCTACGGCAGTTGGCAACCCTAAAGAACACCACTCGCAGTTCAAAATTTTGGTAAAGGTTGGTCATAAGCTTTGACTTGAGCAGTAATATTGTTATAGCGTTTACGTGCTTTTTTGTCATACCTTTCTATGACAAGCCATATCACAAAACCAACTCAATAAAGTTGAATGCCGCCTCAAGGTACAAAAGAACACTACAACAGTTGGGCGACGGTAAATTTCATTATGTTATAGGACCTGACATTTGTTCAATATATTCACGTTCATATCTGAAACTACCCTAGTTTCTTTTAACTTGTCTTTGTGAAACTGCAAACAAACGTTCGATAAATATGGCGGCTACTACCGTAGATATCCAGATTGATTATTGTGTAGTTATCACAAAACGATTTTGGTTCTTTCTTCCTCATAAGGCTAAAGTCCGTCATATCATTTAAACAACATAAACCTGGTTACTTTTAGGTGGTTATAGGTATGGGGTTGTGAAGATTTATGAATTCCACAGAAATCACGAACCGACCAAATCAAGATCACAATTGGAATCTCGGAAGCATTGGATGGACGCTTCATCCTAATATGGGACTCCTCAGCTGAGGGCAATCACTACCGTACACGTCATCATCGAGTCCAGAAAATTAGATATCACGCACGGACGTCTAACTGATAAACCACTGAGCAGGTATGAAAAAGTGAACAAGTTTAACTACAACCAATTCACGATATAGCGCAACGTAAGTCAATCATTTTCAGTGTGTACACTCATCACAATCGACAAGGTCTAGCTCAATTGATCATTGCATCGAATTATAGCCCTGGAAACTTCCTCTTAAATCTAGTCACTAGTGAGCACATGATAACTATCAGTATGGATTTATGGATATTGTTGAATTTCATAGAAGATAACCACGCAATAACGTAAATCGATTGTTATTAGACTCAGTGGTCTAGCGGTTAGAAGTTTGCACGCGAGACTGAAGGTCCTAGGTTCAATTCCCTGTTGCAGGGTCGTGGATGTGAACTTCTGAGGAGTCCCACACTAGGATGGAACGGCTGTCCGATACTTTCGAGTTTTCAGTGGTTGTTTAACTTTACTTGGTTTGTGATTTCGATGAATTGCAGTGATTAGTTATTGCAATAAGATTTATTCTAACGTAAAATAATACCTTTATAGTAATTTTTAGTCAACAGGACGTAATAAAATAATCATAACTGTGATAATAATTTCAAGAACATGGGCCCACGACGTTTGTGTTATTTGGAATACTATATGTTTTGGAAGGTATTTGAGTTGAAACCAAATAAACTTATCACAATTAACTGTCTTGTGGTACGAAATGTAGAAATTTTGACAATCATCTGCAATAGTCTAACCCGATTTTTTCCACAGATATGTAATTTAATAAAACAACATAATTATAACAAAATAGTTTTTATTAAACAACCTTGGTAATTAAATGATAAGCAATAGCTTACCTCGTCCAAGATTACAATTTCAAGATTTTTGATAATCTCAGATGCATTGCACAACATATTATATAATATTTCAGTGGTCATGACAAGTAGTGATGCTTCTTGAGCTAGTTTGATATCCCCAGTAATTAGTCCTACATTTTCACCAAATCTTTCCCTAGAGTAGTTGGTAAGTGGTAGACAAAACTGTGCTTAGTATATCCCCATATATATAAACTACGATAAAATACATATTAAACTATTATTTCACTAATTCAACAAAATGACTAACCTAAAATCATGAAATTTCTGATTGGAAAGTGCTTTAACTGGACTTGTATAGATGACACGTGAACCACGACGTAAACAAATAGCGCATGCGTATTCTGCAATCACCGTTTTACCAGACGATGTATGTGCTGAAACAAATACTGTTTTGTTGTTTTCAAGACAAAGAATTGCACGTTTTTGAAATGTGTCAAGCTCGAAATCCCAATGCAATGCTGGATTATGAATTAATTTTGTTAAGGTCGGGAGTGGTGTTACAGTATCCTCCTATGCAGAAAGTGATAATAATCATAGGAATGAAAATTTACAGATAATATGCATAAATGAACCTGTTAAAAACACCATGTAAATCAAAATACAAAATGTAGATCAAAATACTGTCGTTTCAAATAAACAAACTCATATTTCCATGCAGCGATTACATTTTGTTTCAACTTCAGTTTCAACTTTATATTGTATTATTAATTGGCGGTTAAAATGTCTCACAATATGAGATAAAAAGAAACGAACGTCTACTACACATATTTAAATCCATGAGGCCATTCATCGGTAAGGCTAAATGACACATTCAGTACTTGGACACGAAATTGACTCCTGATCGTTTTCTAGTTCCTCAGAAATCCCCTACGCTTGAACCTCAAACGAAAGACGAGAGGCAGGAAGTACGAAAAGATGCTTCACTTCAAAGGTTATTTTGAGTATAGATAATAAGGATATTAATGGGTGATCTTGATATTCTGTAAGTCGCTGAAAATATGTCAAAATTGGAAACAATATCGCTAGTTGTTTAATCAAAAGAAGACACGAAACCAACCTTTTCTAGAGTTTTCTGGGAAGTCTCTGTCAAACATTGGCTGGCGGACGTATTTTTCAACCTTCTCACAGTTTCTGAAGGCTTTTACGAGGAAATCTAGTAATAAACATCAATTAATTTGTACGGTGTCATTTTGATCAATTTGCTAATAAAACTGACCAATTCTAGACATCTTTAGTGAACGGATGTCATTCAAGAATTAGTTTTTTTTCATTAACAGAATATATAACAGAAGTTGTTTATGTAATATTGGGTAAGGAAGTGTATACATTCTGGGTAATGTTTAAGTGAACAAAAAATAACCAAGTCATGCAAACGAAATTACTTAATCTGCCAGGTATTTGGTGAACTGATGCGAATACGTAAAATACTTTAAATAAAACACTTTGTCAACGTCCTCAACTGCAAAACGTTAGTAAAGAAAGTTCCACACAAAAATCAAAATGCTTGACTCGTTATCCACCCCACAACAAGCACATCGTGATCACATGATTACAACATGAAGATAATCAGTCAATAAGCATTCCAAAACATATTACATTACAAACGAATTCCAAGCTTTCTGAAATAAAAATGTGTGTGAACCAATATGGAGATAATTAGAATAGGAGTTTATTTAGATTGCAGAGATTTATAGTTTACATAACATGATACTAGCTGCATAAATCTTTAGAATAAGGAACCGTGGGGCGGCTGTTTCGATCTAGAGTGGAACTACCCGTCAGGGAGTATTCACGACCCCACCGAGGACTGAACTCAAGACCCCCAGATCTGAAGGCGAACGCCCAACATCAGACTACTGAGTCTGGATTCAGAAGTATACATCACCGGCTATAATCGAGCCTTGATATTACGCGAACACCTTACAATGTCATCGGTGGATAAATGTCAGACACCCCACAAGGTTGAATTAAATATCTCACTAGAACACGGAGAATAATCTGTCGCAATCAGCCACTAGTGATGAACGAAGACTTAATAGTATAAAGCTTTAAGCTGAACACTAAGCCCGTAGGCCCTCAGTTCGATCTAAAGTGAGATGGTGGGTGCCCGCTTCTGAGGAGCCCCGTACCATCATAAAACAGCTGTTCGGTGCTTGATGGTTTCACTGGTTATCTAGATGAGGTCAGTCAGTTATGTAAAAAATGTGAAATAGTTTACACTACAAATTAGCTTTAGCTACATTACTGTTGAACCAAGTCTTTCTTCCTGTATTATATCCTTATACACAATCTTTCTTTTATATATTACTACCATTGGAGTAACTACTATGAATTTGGTGTTCATCTTGTTGTGCTAATGAGGTATAGCAACTTGGACCGATGCACATATGTGCCTGGTCTTACGTTGTAGCTGACTGACTGACACTACTTCTGAAAACCAGAAAACACATGATGTCTAGGACGAAAGAGTTTCTTTCTCCGATCTTCAACGGTTGTCTAGCTAAGCCAGTTTATGGTGTTAACTACCATTAAAGTCTTCACAATCCCTCGATCCTAATGAAAAGACAATATAATGGATATGGAGAATAAATTCGTAATTCATTATTGCTTGATATCTGTAGTTTGTAAAGAACCTATGACTGATTAATGAAATGTGTTGAGCCTATAACAAACAAATGATCACCATTGCTGTCCTAAGTATTTCATATACGTCAGGAAAAAAATGGGAATCATGTAACCTGGTGAACTGCTAGAATGAAACGATGGAGAGAGGTGGTTGTATGCTTTCATTCTATCTGATGTGTTTGTATACAGAGCTTGCAGTAAGTATGGCGTAACGCCGGAATTTCATAGAGGGTGAAAATTATAACCAATAAATAAACAACCAGGACGAAAGCCGGTTCGCTTCTCGCAAGTCAGTCTTTTATATGTTTCAGTGTGAATTATAACGGAAACCAATAGTTCTGAATCGATTGAAAGTAAACTTATTCTGGATCTTTGTAGAATAGATGACTTAAACCCATTTTAAGGACTAGGACTACTGTCGCTTGATTTTAGGATGGCAGAACACTCTCTACTTCGTAAATCTTTCCAAACAATCTAGTTGGTTCCCTGAACAAGAAGCTCGCCAGAGTGAGTCGTTCGGACCTGACGATTTGTGACGCTCCGGAAGTTGGGATTCCTAGGCGGCCACCTCTCCGTCAGGTGGGTCAGTTTTCACTGGTCATGATGGGCAGGCAAACCTGGTGGACGGCCAAAATTTCGTTCGAAAAAACTGCGCACTGTCCAAGGTCTCGTTAAATATTATTTATTGACTCCCTAGATTGCTTCACTCACATCAAGCTTCTTCCCCCCCCCCAACGACTCGGATCAATTGAAGGAGCTTTTGACAGATACCAGATGCAGATGCTGCTTCCAAACTAGCTAGCATGCTTCAAGTACCAAGTGTTCGGTTCTCACACAACTTCTGTATAACTTCCAAATCTAAGAGTCTGTTTGTTGCCAAGCTCGTGATTAGTCACAGTCAACCGTGTCTCCAGAGGTCTGTTGAAACTTAGTGGTAGTCGGCGAGGCGTTTCGCAAAGCCACAAGCAACTTGTCGTTTTCTTGACGCCAGGCAAATGCAACCGGTCTCCCCATGTATTTCTTCGTGGACTGATATTTAGTCTTGAACCTTGTTCATTTTTATGTTTAGTTGCAATGGAAACTGCAGCCAATTTTTATTTATCAACTACTTCAGAACAATGAAATGTTTGGCCACTTAAAATCAAAATAAAGGGGCCAAAGCCAAAGCACGATAAGAGATCAGATACGTATTTGAGAATGAGTGTGTCACATACACAAACATATAAGCAGTAGCTGAACGCAATATAACCAATCGGAATCTACACAAGGATTGCAGAGGGAGTGGAAACATACATCATATCAGACTGTGTCGAAAGTAACACCGACCCAAAACAGGTTTTCATGGTGGGAGACGGTCATTGTTATTCAACCAGTGACCAACTACTCCTCACCGGCCACCAAAGCGACTCTTCCGTACATAGAGGCCTTATCGACACATTCAAATCTCTAGATAGCACTTAAACATCTGTCAAACGCGATTTCTTATGATCATTTAACTCGTGTTAGAGCTAATCCTCGATTGCATCCGGTCGGCAATTTGTTGGGGCGTAGGCATTGATAACGATATAAAATCGTATTCCATTTTTGACTTCTCGCTCTGACGGAACTTTTTAATCTTCAGACACACTGACTACTGTTAATTGGGGTCCAGTCGACTTGTGCTGTCTGGTACTTACTGCGACACGGAAGCCAGACAAACCGAACAGAAATGCCACAGAGTTACCAGACAAATACACACGGAACAAGCGTCTCGAATCGAGAAATAGGATGTGCAATTTTAGCATTAATGCAGTCTTAAGTATGGGGCTCGGGTGTACAGCAGATATCCATATCAAGACTTCATAAAGACAACCAAATTTACCGTCTGATCTGTATTAGCGCCAGAACGTTGAAAGAATCCAGTTTGAATGTTAATCATAGCTTCAGAAAGGCTTATTCAGAATCTGTACTTGGTGGTAGCCATTAAACTTTTGACTAGTCTGTAATTTGAGTTCGTTTCAACACGACAAAATTGTTGTCTGCTTGATTGGTTGAATTACTTGTGATCTGAATACAACGCGAATATAAATAATACTGTCATTCCGACCATATTAATGCGCCTACGACTATTGTTGAGGTTAAAGTTGAACAAGTAGTTGAAATCTACCACTGAAAACCACGTTTTTGACAGACAACCGGATGCCTCATCTGTGTCAGATGGCTGAAGTTGGTGAAGGAAAAGGAAATTTACGTCTATCCCAAAATATCCTCAGATGAAAATCTATAGAAATTGGCGATATTTTAAACGCTAATGGGGTAGTCAACAAAATTCACAAGATTATTAGTTACATCACCATCTCCATGAAACAAAACTGTTTCACTAAAATGCATCAATTCTATTACAATATCCAGGTAGAATTAAGAAAGCTATCAGTAGGACATTTTTGATAAGTTAGGGTACAAACACGTTAAGTAAAGTGAACCACTTAACATAGCTAGGTGGACATGTGCAAAACAACAAAGGAGCACGGTCGTTGTTTTCCACCAAATATTTTGGATGGAGACCCATGCGAGATTGACTTTAGGAAAATTTTCAGAAACAAAGCGTTTACAAAGCATTCAAAACTTACTATTGTAGCATAGGATTCACGTGGTTTGCAGCTCCTTATTCGTCTTTTAAGAAACGTGATCGTTTCTCTTTTGGGTAGTAAGAAAGTTCCTGCTTCACTTATCTGAGCTGTTAGTCGAAGAAAATATCCCTTGGGAAAACACCAATTCTGAACCACATCCTCAGAAGCCATTTTCAATAATTCATCAATTATACTAGGGACAGTTGGTAAATCACCAGAACAGTCAGGTGATTTACGTATACAACTCAATAGATTAAACTCCATCTTAGTTGAACGAAGAGCCTGTTTACTAATTTCATGGATGGATTTCATAATTGTTGGTTCAACCTACGGAGATCAGGCCTGTTTCCAATAAAACTCACCCTAGTGTTGGCAGTATTTATTCCACAAGATGTAGCCGTAGCACATGACCGTTTAAAATTAACATCAGGATCCACTACTTTCCCCGTCATACCATCTCTATGTATTGGGATATTATGATACGGGATTTGGGTTCGTTGATGAATTAAATCATGTTTTAGAGAGTCCGGAATTAAGTTCTCATTCTTTGAGAAAGAATGTCCGAGGAAGGCGTGAACTTGTAATATCTGACTCATAGTTCTATATTCTGTTATAGCTGTTAAGCGACTGCAACTTAGGCCTGTAACCAAAGTAGAGAAACACCAAAACAACAACAATTGAGACTGGAATTCCATTTTTCTTTCGGGAGTAAACAAAAGACAACTTCGAGGGTATTTGTAAATCACATCTCACAACTATGGGTCGCATGATGGGCTTACGTGAGGTACGCAGTGCCCATAAAATTCCACTTACCTTTCCAAAATTTACCTTGAGTACTCTACAAACGGGACGGTAAAAACGTTAGATCCCTTTAAATACGTCGCCGTTTCGTTTCAGAGACCTTGAAGGGCCTAACAGGGGGCGGTCATTCCGTACTTCGAGGACGATTGGGACGATGAGCCATGGGTTTTCGCGCGCATGTTGCATGGTGTCGAGGGTCCTGGATGTCGTTATTTATTAGTTATTAACAGTATTTTTTCCGTCACACGCCAATTTTCGTAGTTCAAATGGTTCAAATGGTTGTGGACGGAATAGAAGAAGCTTGCGCTTAACAGGCTTCCGTGTCTAGTAGCAGGGAATCACCAAATCCTCCAGGCAGGAACCTAGGTGTTTTACCAATAAAAGAGGAAAAAATTGGTAAATCATAGTATGATGCTGTCCTTGGTCCTTAAGAATAGGCCAAGTTGCCTCTTGAAGGACTTCTGGGGAGTCGCTTGGACTAGCTCTGCCGGCAGCGAATTCCAGCATTTGACAACACTTAAGGAGAAGAAGTTATGTCTACAGTCCGTTCTGCTATGTTGTGTCTCCAGTTTCTGGGTGTTACCCCTCAGGTTAGTGTTCGAACTAAGCTTAAGTAGGTGTTTGAGAGGATATCCAGAAGTGTTAAGGATACTGTAAGCCATCAGAAGGTCGCCTCTAAGACGTCTATAATCTAATGGGTAAAGGTCTAGTGAATGGAGGCGCTCTTCGTAAGGTTTAAATTTGAGTCCTCGAACTGATTTCGTGGCTCGCCGTTGGATACGTTCCAGGGTATCCTTATCCTTTTGGAGTGAGGGGGAAATACTATGTTTCCGTGCTCTAAATGAGGACGGATGAAACTATTGAAGATTGTATGGAAAGTTCTTCCGTCGAACTGTCCAAAAATGCGCTTCAATGTTACCAGTGCAAGGTTTGCTCGGAAGGCATTTTTGTCAAAGTTAGCGTAAGACTTCAAATCGTAGGGGACCAAGACTCTTAAATCTTTTTCGACTTGGGATACTACTAGAGAGGAGTTACCTAAGTTATAACTGTAGTCTGCGACATGTCGCAGATGGACTACTTTACATTATTATCTATCCAACTTTGAAGTCAGATCTTCCTGAAGTGCCTATATATCGTCTTGATTTCATACTTCTCTCCAAAGTTTAACATCTTCAGCTAAGAGTAACAATTCTGACGTTATCTGTTGAGGAAGATCAAACAAGTGAAATTCACCATTTATCAAGTCAAAAATAAACTAAAATCAGAGTTTTGTGCAAGAATGAGCTCTAAAATCTCTTACACTTGATTCATCTCCCTAATTATGGTGGTGATGAACATGGACGTTGGTGGTTGTTTATACAATGTAGGTTGAAGCAATTAAACGCTAAACTATCTATGAATATTATATAAGTTGCTAAAATACAGCCATAAACAATTCAATTTATCATAAGTATTACCGTTTTCGACTGAACTGACATATTATTATGTAACGTATCTGAGAACAATTATATAAGTAAAGCATGACGTTGATAGTCTTTTCTGAACATATATAGGAACTGCGTGTAACATTACTGTAAGAGACACACTGATTAGTCGCATACTCCTCATAAGTAAAGGAATGCGTTTTTGTTTTGAGCATGGTAACTGAACCATGTCGTAGTTAATACTAATTTATGTGTCTATTATTGGGTTTACAAAAATGCCTTCCGAGCAAACCTTGCACTGGTAACATTGAAGCGCATTTTTGGACAGTTCGACGGAAGAACTTTCCATACAATCTTCAATAGTTTCATCCGTCCTCATTTAGAGCACGGAAACATAGTATTTCCCCCTCACTCCAAAAGGATAAGGATACCCTGGAACGTATCCAACGGCGAGCCACGAAATCAGTTCGAGGACTCAAATTTAAACCTTACGAAGAGCGCCTCCATTCACTAGACCTTTACCCATTAGATTATAGACGTCTTAGAGGCGACCTTCTGATGGCTTACAGTATCCTTAACACTTCTGGATATCCTCTCAAACACCTACTTAAGCTTAGTTCGAACACTAACCTGAGGGGTAACACCCAGAAACTGGAGACACAACATAGCAGAACGGACTGTAGACATAACTTCTTCTCCTTAAGTGTTGTCAAATGCTGGAATTCGCTGCCGGCAGAGCTAGTCCAAGCGACTCCCCAGAAGTCCTTCAAGAGGCAACTTGGCCTATTCTTAAGGACCAAGGACAGCATCATACTATGATTTACCAATTTTTTCCTCTTTTATTGGTAAAACACCTAGGTTCCTGCCTGGAGGATTTGGTGATTCCCTGCTACTAGACACGGAAGCCTGTTAAGCGCAAGCTTCTTCTATTCCGTCCACAACCATTTGAACCATTTGAACTACGAAAATTGGCGTGTGACGGAAAAAATACTGTTAATAACTAATAAATAACGACATCCAGGACCCTCGACACCATGCAACATGCGCGCGAAAACCCATGGCTCATCGTCCCAATCGTCCTCGAAGTACGGAATGACCGCCCCCTGTTAGGCCCTTCAAGGTCTCTGAAACGAAACGGCGACGTATTTAAAGGGATCTAACGTTTTTACCGTCCCGTTTGTAGAGTACTCAAGGTAAATTTTGGAAAGGTAAGTGGAATTTTATGGGCACTGCGTACCTCACGTAAGCCCATCATGCGACCCATAGTTGTGAGATGTGATTTACAAATACCCTCGAAGTTGTCTTTTGTTTACTCCCGAAAGAAAAATGGAATTCCAGTCTCAATTGTTGTTGTTTTGGTGTTTCTCTACTTTGGTTACAGGCCTAAGTTGCAGTCGCTTAACAGCTATAACAGAATATAGAACTATGAGTCAGATATTACAAGTTCACGCCTTCCTCGGACATTCTTTCTCAAAGAATGAGAACTTAATTCCGGACTCTCTAAAACATGATTTAATTCATCAACGAACCCAAATCCCGTATCATAATATCCCAATACATAGAGATGGTATGACGGGGAAAGTAGTGGATCCTGATGTTAATTTTAAACGGTCATGTGCTACGGCTACATCTTGTGGAATAAATACTGCCAACACTAGGGTGAGTTTTATTGGAAACAGGCCTGATCTCCGTAGGTTGAACCAACAATTATGAAATCCATCCATGAAATTAGTAAACAGGCTCTTCGTTCAACTAAGATGGAGTTTAATCTATTGAGTTGTATACGTAAATCACCTGACTGTTCTGGTGATTTACCAACTGTCCCTAGTATAATTGATGAATTATTGAAAATGGCTTCTGAGGATGTGGTTCAGAATTGGTGTTTTCCCAAGGGATATTTTCTTCGACTAACAGCTCAGATAAGTGAAGCAGGAACTTTCTTACTACCCAAAAGAGAAACGATCACGTTTCTTAAAAGACGAATAAGGAGCTGCAAACCACGTGAATCCTATGCTACAATAGTAAGTTTTGAATGCTTTGTAAACGCTTTGTTTCTGAAAATTTTCCTAAAGTCAATCTCGCATGGGTCTCCATCCAAAATATTTGGTGGAAAACAACGACCGTGCTCCTTTGTTGTTTTGCACATGTCCACCTAGCTATGTTAAGTGGTTCACTTTACTTAACGTGTTTGTACCCTAACTTATCAAAAATGTCCTACTGATAGCTTTCTTAATTCTACCTGGATATTGTAATAGAATTGATGCATTTTAGTGAAACAGTTTTGTTTCATGGAGATGGTGATGTAACTAATAATCTTGTGAATTTTGTTGACTACCCCATTAGCGTTTAAAATATCGCCAATTTCTATAGATTTTCATCTGAGGATATTTTGGGATAGACGTAAATTTCCTTTTCCTTCACCAACTTCAGCCATCTGACACAGATGAGGCATCCGGTTGTCTGTCAAAAACGTGGTTTTCAGTGGTAGATTTCAACTACTTGTTCAACTTTAACCTCAACAATAGTCGTAGGCGCATTAATATGGTCGGAATGACAGTATTATTTATATTCGCGTTGTATTCAGATCACAAGTAATTCAACCAATCAAGCAGACAACAATTTTGTCGTGTTGAAACGAACTCAAATTACAGACTAGTCAAAAGTTTAATGGCTACCACCAAGTACAGATTCTGAATAAGCCTTTCTGAAGCTATGATTAACATTCAAACTGGATTCTTTCAACGTTCTGGCGCTAATACAGATCAGACGGTAAATTTGGTTGTCTTTATGAAGTCTTGATATGGATATCTGCTGTACACCCGAGCCCCATACTTAAGACTGCATTAATGCTAAAATTGCACATCCTATTTCTCGATTCGAGACGCTTGTTCCGTGTGTATTTGTCTGGTAACTCTGTGGCATTTCTGTTCGGTTTGTCTGGCTTCCGTGTCGCAGTAAGTACCAGACAGCACAAGTCGACTGGACCCCAATTAACAGTAGTCAGTGTGTCTGAAGATTAAAAAGTTCCGTCAGAGCGAGAAGTCAAAAATGGAATACGATTTTATATCGTTATCAATGCCTACGCCCCAACAAATTGCCGACCGGATGCAATCGAGGATTAGCTCTAACACGAGTTAAATGATCATAAGAAATCGCGTTTGACAGATGTTTAAGTGCTATCTAGAGATTTGAATGTGTCGATAAGGCCTCTATGTACGGAAGAGTCGCTTTGGTGGCCGGTGAGGAGTAGTTGGTCACTGGTTGAATAACAATGACCGTCTCCCACCATGAAAACCTGTTTTGGGTCGGTGTTACTTTCGACACAGTCTGATATGATGTATGTTTCCACTCCCTCTGCAATCCTTGTGTAGATTCCGATTGGTTATATTGCGTTCAGCTACTGCTTA